CCCTTGGGTAGGAGCTGCTCCTTGCTACTGGGTAGACAATGTGTATTTACCTCTGTGTTCCCATTCCCCCTCTACCCACCCCACTGCCAGGGTGCAGGATGAGGTGGAATGATGGAGGGGAAAGAGGGTTGCCTCTGTAGGTGGGGTGGGCACTTCCTGAACCCTTTTGTAGAGATGCTTGTTTTCCGGGGATGATCCCTTATACTAGGGAGGGAATGAGTTTCTTACCGGGGGCCTGGAGATGGGCAGGGATGCTAGGGGACAGGAACAGAGGACCAGAGAGGTGGAGGAAGATTTCTTGGTGAGGCAGCTTTGTGCTCAGCTGGAGCTGGGCTAGGCTAGGGGTCTCTGTGGTCCTTACTCTACTTGGTGTGGAGCCGCCAATCCATCTGAGCTGGGTGGGCAGAAGATGGGGGATGTAGAGGGACATGTCTTCTAAAACACCACCTACACATCCCTGAGGCTGCCTGCCCCATTCAGAACAAAATCACCATCAATAACCTTGGACTGGTGCTGTAGGTTAGCCTTGCCTGGGAGGGAAGATCCGAGCCTCACCCTGAGGGATTGCCACTAACTGGCTGTGGACAAGCTGCCACCTCTTTCCAGCAGATGGCTGGCTTCATTTTTTTTTTTTTTTTGTATCAGGGATTGTACTCAAGGACACTTAACACTGAGCCACATCTCCAGCCTTGCCATTGCTGAAGCTTTGACTTGCGATCCATCTGCCTCAGCCTCCCAAGTTGCTGGGGTTACAGGTGTGTGCCATCACCCTTGGACCCAACCATTTTTTTGTATATTTAGAGACAGGGTCTTACTAAGTTGCTTAGGACCTTGCTAAGTCACTGAGGCTGGCCTTCAAACTTATGATCCTCCTGCCTCAGCCTTCTGAGCCACTAGGATTAGAGGTGTGTACCACACACCTAGCTGGCTTCATTAATTTTTGGGGAAAAAAGCAATTGTCACAGCTAGTGCTAGGTGTACTTTCCCTGGATGGGGGTGCATTTGAGAGGGCGTGGGGAGCAGAAGTCTCCTGCAAGATTCACCAACCATCTATAGTCCCAATCCTGGAAGACATTTCAGAAAGTTCTACGGGGGCTGCTGGGTGCTCCAGAGCCAGCCTGCCCCCACTCAGCCAGAGATGGGCAGCAGCCTCAGATTTATTTTCACAGAGCAGATCAAAGGTGGCTTCAGAATGTGTGGGCTCTGATGGCAGCCTTGTGCTATCTGGCTCTTTGGGGAAGGGATCTTGGTGGAGACGGTGTTGCCTCTTTGGGCACCTGTGCATGTAATTTACATGTTGATATAATCGTCTCACCTTTTGCCTGGATGGCTGCTGCAGACAGGCCTTTGTTTTTATAGAAAAGATAAAGACTGGCTGCCCGGCCCAGGAGTCTTGTCTGATGGGAAATGGGGCGGCCTCTTTGATGCCACCTAGTGTCCAGTGCAGCCCATGGTAAGGGAGAATGCTCACGAAAGGGGAATTCTGCTTGCTGGTAAATGCTGATTTGGGCTCTCAGCACAGTGAGAATATGAACAGAGACACACATTTCTTGTTTTCCTGGAGATGATGGCCAAGAGGCAGCAATCGAGCTGCCATGAAGAAACACGTGGTAGTGAGTGCTAAGGGCTCTCTTGCTAAGTTCAAAGAGGCAGCTGTGGGTGTGACCAGCTCTTGGGTATTCGGCAGGTGGAGGAGAGGTTGGGGTGACTGTGAGTTGAACGCTCAGTTTACAACAGGGGCCTCTGGGCCTCCTGAGCAAACTTGGTTTGAACTTCACCTCAAGGCTGATGGAAGTGTTAAGCAGAAAGTGTGGGTTGAACTCTCAATATGGTTGGATCCCTCCTGTAACAAACTGTGTGAGTTAGAGGTGTCACAGAAGTGGAGGAAGACAAGTGTGGAGTGGGGACACCTGAAAAGGGTGTATCCAGGTGATACAGGTGGGCTGTTGATTGCCACCGGGAAGCAGAGTGGGTCCAAGCTAAAACCCACCTCTGGCCCTTGTTCTTGTTGGCATCTGGCTCTCCTCCCAGGGGATCTGAAGGTTTCTTTTGTTTGTTTTGGGGTACCAGGGATTGAACCCAGGGGCACCAGGCCACTGAGCCACATCCCCAGCCCTATTTTGTATTTTACTTAGAGACAGGGTCTCACTGAGTTGCTTAGTGCCTTGCTTTTGCTGAGGCTGGCTTTGAACTTGAAATCCTCCTGCCTCAGTCTCCTGCACCGCTGGGATTACAGGCATGTACCACCATGCCTGGCTGGATCTGAGGGTTTTGATACCAGAGTCCTCTGCAGCCACAGGGACAGCCTGGAAGCAGACTCCTCTGGAAGATGCAGTTATTAGTCAAACCAGTTTGTCAGCAGACAAGGTTGTTGGGGGCAGTCTCTGATTTTTACCCTTGCCCTTGTCCCCACCCCAAGCCAGCTAGCTGAGTACCCACTCCCTCTGACCCAGGCTGACCACTTGTGCTACAGTACTTTGTACTTCTCTCTGCATTTGGGACAATACGCTCAGAAATGACACATTTGACTTAGAAGTAGCTGAAGATGGTATCTAATACAACCCCCTTCAGACCCGCCTGGGAAAGTGGTGTTCACAAAGTTATACAGCCAGATAACTAGTGGCTAAAGACGTGCTAGGGACATTTTTAAGGCTCTAACTGCACTCTCACGGCCAGAGGTAGGGCATCCCTGTCATTCTTGTTCTACATGTGAAGAAACTGAGCACCCAGGACTCTACATGGTAAGGGGAGGGGCTGAGAATGGAATGGGAGCCTGCTTCTGGGGCTTCTGGCTTGCTGGGGGTGGGGTTGGGGAAGGGTTGATCCTCTGTCACCAGAGGCAGCCTTCCAGGCGTGCTCCAGCCACTGCAGGCTACAGTGGGAGGTCAGGCCCCTTTGCCTCTCCAGGCTGGCTCCCCCTCTTGGCTTTGCCCTGCCCCCACCCCACCCCCCAGGGCCCGGCTGAGCACTGAGCTTGCAGGAAACTCACTTCCTGAAGCTGGGGCTTCCCCACAGAAGGGAGGTGGAGGGATGAGGGCTTGCGGGCCAGCCTGAGGGATGACTGCTGAGGCCACATTGTGTCCTAGGAACTTAGGGTAGCTGTTCACCTCAGGATATGGGCAGCATCTCTTCTAGGTATATGATTCCGGTGGAGGAGGCAGGTCATACAGGGTTAAAGTGTTTTGGGATTGGAGCTGCCTCAGTCAGGACCGCAGAAAACAAAGGGAAGGAAGTATGCGGGTCCCCCATGTCAGGTTGGGTCCCCATGAGGGCTGCTGGCTTTTCCAAAATAGCCTAGTATCTGCACAGGGGGTGGGGCCATAGCCTGGAGGGGAGTGTAGTCCGGTGAGTGGGGGTTCTATGAGCCACACACAAAGCCTTGTGCTGAGACACTGCATTCCTGCTGGCTGGGCTTCCTGTTTCCAGATACATTCCTGCCCCAGAGTCACCACGGAGACTGCTTGGAATCTGGCCCCACATTCTCCAAATTCAGAGCAAGATCTGGCAAAGGCACCCTCCCTTTATCTCCCCACTCTCACATTGGAGGAAGGAAGCCACCTGGCCTGTGTGGGGTGTGGCACAGCTGGGGAATTTGATGCCTGCATCTTCTTGGATTTGCAGAAGGCAGTTCTGCCAGGTCCAGCATCCTCAGTTTCCCTAGTATTTGGAGAAGAGGGATGGGGTTGGGATATCCAGAAGGATTGGGCCAGGAGGGGGCAGTCCAGCAGACCCATGGCTAGCAGTGGAGGGCCTGGCCTGAACATCAAGGTGTTGAGAAATGACAAGTAATGGCGATTCAGGGAACTAGCTGTCATTTTGCATGCTGGGGGATTGCCTGTGGACCTCAGTTTCCTTATAAAATCAGAAAATCTGATCCTTTGTGCCTCTCTGATGAAGGCTCCAGCAGAGGATGTTCAGGATGGGTTCCTGGAAAGAGCAACGAGTAGAGGGTCCTCTCCTTCCTTGTTACCAGCCACTTCTTACAGTGGCTTGGGCTCCAGCCCCTCCCCCAGAGGCCCAGGTGCAAGTTTGCACGTCCGCCAGCTTCCTTATCTGCCTCCAGGGGATTTGAGTCCTCCTGACGTTTTTTTTTTTTCCCCCCAACCCTGCACCCTCCCCCAGGTGGGGATGTTTCCTTAAAAGCCACCTGCCCTCATCTGGTCATCAGGCTGTCCCACCATCAGCAGCTGCCTGGGCTCCTTTTAGGATGGGGGTTGGGAGTGGAATTCCACGGGCCCGATAGGGGTGGGGTGGGGACAGGGAAGCGGTCACACTTCAGGTCTGCTTGCAGGCTGCTCTTCCCCACACCCTGAAGATGCATCCATCCCCAGCTCCCCGGCACTCAGATGAGAAAGAGGTACAGGGCCAGGTAGGGGGTTCAGATGGAGCCCAGGACACAGCGCTCTGCAGCTGCTGTGAAGGGTTTCCCGGGGCGCCGGAACCATTTCCCCTTCTTGGCGCCAGAACTCTGACAGGCTGAGAGACCTGTCCCCAAGTCGCATAGCTGGGAGCGCCAGGACGCGGGGCCCCGGTCAGCGCTCTTCCGTCTGCCAGCACGTGGGGCTCCATTTCCTTTCCGGCTCCTGTCCAGTGCTTCCCCCCCTGCACCCCAGTCTGCGGCCGGAAGACAGAGCCCGCGTGTGGACCGGGGGCGGCGACCCCTCGCTGCTAGCCAGCCAGCGTCCTCGGGCGGGGCCGCGCCCCTCGAGGGACAGCGGCTCAGGGCCCTTGCCTTGGCCTCCGCCAGGATTGGGGGCGCGCAGTGGAGGCACGGGGTGCTGGCCAGCCGCTTTCCAAAAGGCCAGCACCCCTCACCGCGCCGCGGCTGCCCTCGCACCTGCTCGTCCCGCCCAGGCCCGCCCCCTGCGGGGAGTGTCCGGCGGCCGCGCCCAGCTGGGTGGGGACGCGCGGGCTGAGTCGACCGATCGCGGTCGGGGACGCGCGGGGGACGCTCGGGTGGCTGCTCCGGCTGCAGCCCGGGCGCCGCGTCGGGCGGGGAGCGCGCCATGCTGGGCCGGCGGCGCGTCTTCGCGGTGGAGCCGCTCGGCCGGGGTGAGTCGCCCACCCATGGGTCGCGGGGCCTCCTGCCCTGGTGCCGCTACCCACGCTCCGGTCGGGCCCCCAAGGGCAGCGCCCACCCGGCTGTACCCCACTCGCCACTCACTTTTGAGGAGCCGCAATGATTAGGCTAGGGTCGCCTTGCGCATTGGAGACGCTCCGGCGTCTGGGTCAACCAGCCACCACTTCCATCCCACCCACTTCCTCTGGGTCCATTTCCCTCTTTATTCCGCTCCTGGAGCCTTCTCCCACTCTGCGGAGGATGTCTGACTGTTCCGTCCCCTGCCCCAGCCAGCAGTTCCAAAAAGACCCTCTGTGGATGAGAACCCCTCTCCAGAGGAGCAGTGCAGGGGTGGACTCCTGGCCCAGAGGGGCCGGCGTTGACGTCCAGCTAAGTCTAGGCAGCCACAGGTTCTGCCCCGTTCCTACAGGGCACCCAGATCCTAGAGGGCCTGGCCCAGAGGTGACAATAAGTGGACGCTAGTTTTCTTTCTTTCTCTTTTCTTTTAAGCGCTTCACAAAAAGGTAACTATTTCTCGCCTAAAAGAACAAAAGTCCCAAATGGTTAGAGCTGCTGTTATATTTATTGCTTTTCCACAAGAGCTCCGCAAGAGACTTCATCTTGCATCTTGTGCCTGATGCGTCAGGGGCTTCAGAGAGCAGCGTGAACTCTAGGCTTCACTCTTTGTGCCCTTTGCCTTCCCTGAGGCCGGCCACTGACTGTTCCCTCTTGAGAAACAGCCCGAGAACCTGTGGCTCCTACCTGAGGGACTTGGAGGTATTAGGTACCCCCTTTGGGGGCAGGGGAGACAAGGGATAGGCCATCTTAGGAGCTGACCCGGCATGATCTGCAAGGGCTTTGCCTACCGCACAGCCCAAAGTATGGGTTCCTGGTTGCTGATAATTATTGTAGAGGGAACCCCATCCCAACATCTCCCAGGCAGAGTGCCTCATGTGTCTCAAAATGGTTAGGCTGTGACTTCCTTTGTCTTCCCTTCACCACTGGCCCAGGACACTCCTCCCCAGGGGAATGCTGTGGGTTGCTAGGAATGCTGGGGGTGTTGAGGGCAGCCTGCCAGACCTGATACTGACTCTTCTACAGATGGGGCCGGGAAGGACCTGGCATGCAGCTGTGTAGTGCCTGGAGTCACCAGTACCTACAGACGGATCCCGGATGCAGCTCATGGTTGCCCATCAGATACCCGGAAGGAAGAGGTTGAACTGAGAAATCTCAGAAGGCAAGTGCCACTTCTGAAACTGGCCTCCCGGGACTCAGGTGTAGAGATGATGGTTGGGGACAGTCCCCTGGCTACCTTATCAGAACTTTCACAGGACTCTCTGAACCTTGAGCCCATGGGGAGCCCTGAGCACCTGGCCCTTGATGCCACAGAGCCCCCTGCCCAGCTGGGCCGGTTGCTGGCCAACCACAAGCTGGGGCAGGTGCTGGAGCGGTCCCGCCAGCTCCCCAGTGTGTCTGGAGAGCATGGTTCCTTGAGCAAGCCGCAGTGTGGAGTGTCCCTTTTTGGAGCAGGAGAGCAAGAGACCACTGAGGCCGAAACTAAGCTAGAGGCAGGCCTGGAAGCAGAGGTGGTGAGTATCGACCTTGGGCTGGGTGAACAGTGGGGTGGAGACAACCCTGTCAAGTGGAACTTGTAGGGACCCCCACCCCCCTCTGGTTTTCCCTGGAGTTATCCCAGGGTGGGGCATTCTAAATGCCCCTAATTGATGGTTGTGTCATTGCTTCTTGTCTCACCCCACCCCCAGCTGTGTGTAGCCACCCCTGCAGAGAAGGTGGGCAGGTTTGGGTACCATGGGAGAAGCCAGTTTGGGTGTTGGTTCCTCTTTGTCCATTGATGGCTGAGCCCAGCCTGACTGCCCAGAGTGGGAGGCTCATTAAGTCTGAGAGTCTCCCCTACCTTGCTGTGTCCCACAGGTGCAGGGTCTAGATCCTGGATCTTGGGCCTGCCTCCCGGGGCAGGGTCTTCGATACCTAGAACACCTGTGCCTCGTGCTAGAGCAGATGGCGAGGCTCCAGCAACTCTACCTGCAGCTGCAGACCCAGAGACCCCTGGAGGTGAGTGAGCTGTGGGCAGGGTGGCCAGGCCTTGAGTCTGGGAGACTGAGTAGGGATAGGACCCCCTGGAACCATGACTGCTCTGAAAACAGCTTCGCCTTCTGATTAGGCCCTGACTGCCCATCTCTCCCATCCCAGAGTCTTGAAGAGGAGGAGTCAGCCCTGGTCCCTTTACCTTCACCTTCACCTACCCCAGTTAATGGGGTACAGGGGCCAGGGGAGCTGCTAAGCCAGACAAAGGAGACAGGTGAGGGGGAATTGTGTTTCTCTCTGTGTCCTGCCTGCTTTGTGTCCCTGCTCATGATCCCACCAGCAGACCCCTTGAACCTTAGATTGTTGGGGTGGCTTCCTGTTTCTGGCCCTGGGTAACCTGATTATATTTCTGAAGGGGCAGACGCAGCTTTATCCCAAAAGGTGGGAGTGCTCAGCATCAACCCTCCCAGGCTGACAGAGGCCCCAGTGGAACCAACTCACAGTTTTCTACTCTCCCAGGAACACAAGGTAGTGATGGATATAAGTGGGGCAGGTGGGGGTGGGATGGAGTGGGTGAACTGGGAGATGGTGGGAGTGGGTAGGTACCCAAAAGGCCAGAAACTTTGGGAAAATAACAGGATTCCTATGGAACAGGTGACTTGTCCTGCTCCAAGGACAAGTTGGGATATATATGTGGGGAGGAGCTCTGTGGTTATCGCTTTCCCCTCTGCTCAGCAGGATCTCTCCCACTGGGACAAGGTCAAGGTCCTCCTCAATCGGATCCGCTGGAGGAGCTCCCAACATCCTGAGCCCCCTGCCCCTCCTGATGGTTCTGGCCCTAGGTGAGTCCTGTGCCCAATCTGGTTTAGGGGAGGGGGAGGATACTGATGAACCAGGATGTTGAGATTGTCTTTCTAGTTGTAATTTTGGTTCCTATGAAATTTGAGAAACATGGTGTCAAAGGAGTTTCTGGAATAAACAAAAGATAGTTAAAATGCCCCATTTATAGATGAGGAGATTGAAGACTGAGTGGGGTTGAGGGCAGTCATTTTTCCAAAGTTTCAGGGTGAGTCAGTGATAGAACCAGGAGCAGATTATGGAAAATATCCTCACCCAGCCCAGCAAGCCTTCACTCCTTAAAAAGGAAGTTTAGGCGAGGGAGGTGGCCTAACTATGGGGAGAGCAAGATGGAGGCTCCAGCAAAGGATTCACTTTCGGTGAGGTCCTTCATACTTGGAGATTTATCTGACTAATTCTCCAGGGGGAAGAAGGCACCAATTTAACATCTCTGGGTTCCCTACAATAGCTAAATAGTGATCTATTGACATTGGGACCATTGTTTTCTCCTAGCTTGTCTCCTTTTCTTTTCCATAGGATTGAGACCAGGGCCCTCTCTGAAAGGCCTCAGTATCACCCCCACCGGAAGACCTTTATGCCATCATTAATGGTGAAGAAGCGACGAGGAAAAAACCTTTCTGTATAATGAGACCTCTTTGTGCATGGTGACTCTGGGTGGAGGGGATTTGCTGTGAAGTCTTCCTCACTCTGCATTGCCAGGGAGAGCTGTTGACTTGCCCTTCTCCAAGGCGAGGGCTGAGTCTGTGTCTTCTGAGCAGCCTGGCAGAGGAACCCTGGTTCCTTGAGAGGCTCCAAGATGCAGCAGCTCCAGGGTTCCTTCTCCCCGCCAGAAATCCCTCTGCTTAGACAATGTGAACTAACTTATTTATCAGATGTTCAAGGAGCATGTTTGGCACAGTGATGTCTGGACCAGCATGGTGCAGATGCGTTTATGCATAACGATATGTACATCTTTGTGGGACTATCAGTATTGTCAACTGGCTGGATTCAACCATCCCTACTGGAATCATATATCCAAAGCCTTCAGAGTGAGATAACTGTGGAAGGATGAAGTTGACCTTCCTTCTGTAGTGGTCAGTTACTGAACTGGATTCCTGCTTTCCTCTTCATACCTGAATTGGCAGCTCTAGAACAGAGAAAGGCATTGTCCTGGCTGCCTCTGTATTGAGTCTTGCCCTTGGAGCACAGCCCCTGAAGACCACATGAGGAATTAGGAGGCTCAGGACAACGTGCAGAACGGCAGAATAACCTTCAAGGTCAATTCTCAGTTGCTCTGCTCCATATTAGCTTTTACCTGTCAGAGCTGAAACCAGAAGTCCATACTAGCTTTTAGACCTTGACAAAGTCTATTAACTTCTGAGCCACAACTTCCCATTTGGGCTAATGATGCCTGTTCTGCCTACCTCACAAGCTTGTTAAGAGGATAAAGTGAGATTAAACTGTCTCAAAGAGTACTGTGAATGTTAAGTGAATAGGAAGGGGAGGGGTATGGGTGCTGAGAGAGGCTGGAGTGGAGGGATAATGGGAGGACAGAGGTTGGGGGCGGGCTGGGGGGGGAATGTAATTGTTAATGGGGACTAGAATGGCCATTTTCCTGGCAAGATTTTGAGCAAATAATTTTACTGGTCTGTCAGATTTCATATGTGAAAATTAGGGCAGATTCCTGATCTCTTCACTTCCCAAGGTTATTATTGGAGTGTAGCCAGTGGAAGGGCAGGGATAGGGATGGGGCTCATTGGCTTGAGTAATAAGAATGTATCCTGTAAATGGCCACTGTCCAGGCAGACATCTTCTCCAGTGAGATGGACTGGTTCTCTTGCTACTGCCATTTGGGGACTGCCAGAGTGAGGCTTGTGTGCGGGTGGTGTGTTGGGTGGGGGGACGTCCAACTCCAGCTGCCTTTGGGTTAGGAACCAATGCTCTGAAGCCTATTTTTCTAATGGGACATTTTAAACAAGGACACCACGAGGCGCGGCTTCCGAACGCGCATCCGATCCGAGGAGGCGCACTTCCGTTCCACAGTTGCAGCGGGATGGCAGGCGAACGTGGGGGAAGGGAGAGGTCGGTGGAGACGAGGGAGGGACCATATCCGGGAGAGTGGCAGCTTCCGACCAGTGGTCGCTCTTCCGGAGAGGCGCTTCCGGTGGTGGCGGCAGCAGTGGCTGTGGTGGTTCCGGGTGCCTTTGTCCCCCCGGTGTCGCGGCCCTGGCCCGCAGGTGGGTTGGGGGACCACCCACTGCCCCTCTGCCCTTTCGCCTCTCCCCAAGCGGAGGAGTTGCGGGGGCCCGGCGGCGAAGATGCACTGGACGCGGAAGGGGCTGAGTCCCCTCCGGACTGCAAACCCCGTCTCCCTGGCAACAGCCTCGGCCCTGGGGGCGGGCGGGAGGAGGAGAAACCGCGCGCCTTCGTCCTCCCACGGTGGCCTCTCCGCGGTCCGGCCCAGGAGGCCGTGCGCTGTTGGCTGCTGAGGCCAGAGCAAAGGACCACGGAGCCCGGGAGCAGGAAAGCGGCGTTCAGGCCGATTCGCGTTGGGCCGCTGGGAGAGCTCCCTTCACGCCAGCGGGTCGGGGGAACAACGGGCTAGGCTTCCGGGGAGAGGGCCCGCACCACCTCGCGGGCACCGGCCGCCTCCATTTTTCCGGGTCCTGCGTGGAGCGTTTTGGCATGTTTTTGAATGAATGAATGTCATCGGAGCTCTTTCCAGCCTCCTACTCCGTCCGCCTCTTAGGGGGTTGCATGGCATAGTGAGAAGAGTGCTAAGTTGTTGGGAGACCTGGGTGAGAGTCCCGGTTTTGTGGCCTGGGCCAAGTCCTCTGATCTCTGAGCTCCAGTTTCCTTTTCCGTAAAACAGCATGTCAGTATCACGCAACCACTAGGTTACTGTGAGGGCAGAACGGAATAATGTAATTTCTTATTTCATTTCCTGCTCTTCTTTATATGGTCTCCAACAATTTTTCCATTCTCAGTACCCATCTCTTCACATCTCTTCACCTTTCTTAAGGTTCTTACTTCTTTAAGATTTTCCACTTGTCTGGGGATAGACAGAAATCTTTCATGTGAGCATTTAACTTCTTTTTTTCTGATTGAAGGTTTTTCCCCAAGACTCTGAAAGAGGACAGCATTCCCAATGTCCCAGTTTAAGCGCCAGCGGATCAACCCACTTCCAGGGGGACGCAACTTCTCAGGTGATCACTCTTGTCCCCACCTGACCTCCTAGTAGGATGTGCTCTGCAGTTAGTTTACAAAACTCTGGCCCTTGGGATTTCCCAGGTGTGAAGCAACTAGCTGTTAATGTTTCTTAGGAAATGAGGAGATGACCACAGTGGTTGCCAGTGAAGCCCTGAGGAGGAGCTGGTTGGAGCTACTTTGCTCTCCTTTACCCATATCTTCTAGTTGTCTCTAATGCTTAACGTGGTAGGTGCAGTTCCTAGAGGTTGCTTCTCTGTCCCTGTAGGTGCGGCTTCAACATCTCTTTTGGGCCCTCCTCCTGGTTTGCTTACTCCTCCTGTGGCCACAGACCTGTCCCAAAGTGCCAGGCACCTTCAGGTAGGTTGGGCATCCTTTCTAATGAGTTTCAGCCCTTGGGACTACCCCAGCATGGGGATGCCTGATATTCTTTCATTTTTTATATTGTAATGGTCAGCATTTCTGACTCTTGTCTTGGTAGTGGGCGGTATGGGGTGACTAGATACCCCTCAGACTGGGGAGTCAGTTTCTGAGTCCAGGGAAATCTTAACCGTGCCTCTTGAGATTAAAGAGCTGGAAGTCCTAGAAGCAGTTTGTAACCCATCTTTCCTCACATAGAAAGTTTATGTCTGCTCTGTGTTTCCTTCCATATGAATCTCCATGCTGAGCTGGGGTGTGGATAGAGGGGAGTCCCTAGTGGCAGAGCATAATTTTATTCAGGTTGCTTCCTATTAATTTTAACCTGCCCTCTTCTCTTGCAGAGTGGAGAAAAGCAGCGGGTTTTCACTGGCATTGTTACCAGTTTGCATGACTACTTTGGGGTGGTGGATGAAGAGGTCTTTTTTCAGCTAAGGTAGGCTTGAGGCTAGTCTCCTGCTGGAATTGCTTATGGATTCAGTTATGTCACCATGCTGGTGGGGCCCCTCTCTAAAGCCATTGCTTTGTTGTTTTAAGCCATTGCTTTTGTTTTTAAGTAAGAACTCTTGATGGAATGGGCTACATGGGGGCAGGTAGGGTGGCTGGACCAGGTTCTCTCCTGTGTTGGCAGTGTGGTAAAAGGCCGGCTGCCCCAACTGGGTGAGAAGGTGCTGGTGAAGGCTGCATACAACCCAGGCCAGGCAGTGCCCTGGAATGCTGTCAAGGTGCAAACACTCTCCAACCAGGTATTCATCTCTCTTTAGCATTTGCACTGTAAAGGGGAGTGGGAAAGGAAGGGAGGGGTTTGGGGGAAGGGGAAGTGGCAGAGGGGAGGGAGAGAAGCCTCTGTGCCCAGTTACCTGGGCAGAAACCTTACTTTTGTCGAGGGGGTGGGACTGTATCTTTCCAAGGTAGTGAATGCTTCAACTCTGGGATCCCCTCAATTTCCTGGCAACTGTCCTGCAGCCCCTGCTGAAGTCCCCAGCACCTCCTCTTCTGCATGTGGCAGCCCTGGGCCAGAAGCAAGGGATCCTGGGAGCTCAGCCTCAGTTGATCTTCCAGCCTCACCGGATTCCCCCGCTCTTTCCTCAGAAGCGTGAGTACCAGAGACACAAATATTGGGGTATGGCTGTGTGGGGTGCTCTGGATGAATGGACTTGTAACTTTCAGACTGCTGCTCTTAGAATAAAAATGGGTGCTTTTGTGCATTGGAAGAAAGGGAGGGGAAAACTAGACAGTTTTTAAGTCACTGGCCATTTTCTGTCTATAGCTCTGAGTCTCTTCCAAACATCCCACACACTTCACCTGAGCCACCTGAACAGATTTCCCGCTCGGGGCCCTCATGGACGACTGGATCAGGGCCGAAGGTAAGAGGATGATCAGGACATATATTTCGTTATATTTCTGAGAGGAGCAATATCTCCCCCCCTCTTTTTTTTTGCCAACTGTTGATATACTAAATTCTTTCTGCAGCTAGGTCCTAGTCCTTTTTCTCTTAAATAGGCAAATACAAGGAGATTTATATGTACATATAAATTTTGGGACTTTATATACAGAGTTAGCAAAACAGAGATTTGATATGTTCTTTTTTTTTTTAGCTTCTAATTTTTTTTTTATTTTCTTTTTTTTTTTTACATTTTAATTTTTTTTTTTTTTTGGTTATAGATGGACACAATACCTTTATTTTATTATTTATTTTTATGTGGTACTAAGGATCAAACCCAGCACCTCACACATGCCATGCAAGTGCTCTACCACTGAGCCACAACTCCAGCCCTCACATATTTTCTGTTGGTGCCTCATAGTGCATATTGATGAGATTTGTTATTATGCATTACAGTGATGGAATTTGTTACATATTTGTACATGCACACAATATAAGTAGTTTTTGAAGTGTCACATTGAAATACTTTTTTCTTTTTTGATAATGGGGATTGAACCCAGGAGTTTCTACCTCTGAGTCCTAGTCCTCTCTGTACCCACTCTTTCTGAATTTTATTTTGAGACAGAGTCATACAGAATTACCCAAGATAGCCTTGAGCTTGAGATCCTTCTGCCTCAGCCTCCCGAGCAGCTGGGATTACAGCTTGTGCCACTGCCCGGCTTGAAATAGTTCTTAAATATATAATTTTCCTTTTATTTCTAGTTCCCACAATTGAGATATCAGGGATTGTTTCAAGAAAATAATTACATGTCCAAAAAAGTAACATTGCAGTGTATGTTTTAATTTGTTCTTTAAAACATATGCTTTTTTATACACGACACTTAGGTGAGTGTGGTGTTGCATTGTCAGGTTGCATTCTGCACGCGCGTGGACATGCGGACAGACAGTTTTCTTGGTCATGTGGGAATCAAGCATGGTTGATTGGGGTCCTTGGAGCTTCCTAGTGATTGTTATCTGTGAGCTTTAGGGAGTATACCAGCAGTGTGATGTCTCTCCCCTCTTTGGTTCATATGCTCCTAATCTTAATCTCCCTGAGAGTTTTTCTTAACTTTTTTTTTTTGATAATTTTTTTTTAGTTGTAGGTGGACACAATACCTTCACTTATTTTTATATGGTGCTGCGGATTGAACCCAGTGCCTCACATGTGCCAGGCAAGCGCTGTACCACTGAACTGCAACCCCAGGCCTTAATGTTTTAATAACAGAAAATTTCAGTGTATGCAAAGCAAATGGAAAGATATGAATTCTAATATATCTGTTACCCCACTTCAAATATCAGCATCTGCCCTTATCCTTACTTATCCCTTCATCTAGCTGTTGCCTCCTACTTGATTCGGGTGTTTTTTTTTTTTTTGTGGGGGGAGGTGGTTACTGGGAATTGAATGCAGGGGTTCTTGGTCACTGAGCC